TTACGTCTCTGGAACAGTCACGAAGTATGAGGCAGCTGACAAAAAACGTACGTTCCCAAATGCTCATCCTGATAGTTCACATGCTGATTTGGGTGACTACATGCCCGTCAGCAGTACAAATTTGCGTTTCGTACCAAGGCGTAACAACTTTCTTTGTGTGCGTTGCTAGTCTTCCGCTCATGATCGAATAGTCCGCACCTGTATCCAATAATGCACTAACATCGTGGCGACCGTCGACTACCGCATGTATCTCCAAAGAAAATCTGCTTTCGGCTTTCGTCACTGTAGTCGGTGAATCGCTGTGGTTCTGTGCTTGCGTCGATGGAAGGCCTTGCTTGCGTTAAGTGTCAGTGGCCTCGCTCCCGAAGGTCGCTGTTGTTAGTTTCCTTGCCTAGGGTTTGGCGAAGCGCACCTGCGCCGCCCCCTGGGAGGCTCCAAAAATTTGGAAAAGATCGTCTTGGGGATGGGGACCGCGACTGCCGCTGCAGTGGCATGCGCTGCTGTGAGAGGTAATAGAGAGTGTTAGTGCTGGGTGCCCTAGCTCTTGGGGCGCTGCAGGCTTGGGGGCACGCGGTCTTGTGTACCAAACCCATACCCAACTGGAATACCTTATAGAGGCGCGCACGTGGCGTAAGCAAACGCGAGCCGCACGAAGGTCACACGCGCTCGCAGCACCACTGCGTATTGTCGCGTAAGTATTGTTTAATTATTTTTACGGTTTAAAATGTTAAATTAAACATACATAGTAACATGAAATAAACTAATTTCAATAAATCATTTTTAAATAATATGACAGTTTTCAACACGAAACAAAAAAAAAAGCTTTTTCATATGTGCCACACTTGCGACTGAAGCCAGCACCGTCGATGCAAAGCAATCCAGACGGCCCGTCGTAGTCCGAAAAGCGCGACAACAGAGCAACGGTGTAACATGTTTTTTTGGTTTCTATGTCCCAGGCCATTATATCTTGGGTAATCTGGCTGAAACAATGTAATCGCTATGGGTGCTTGCACTTTGGCTCATTTTAACTCGACGGCCAATCTATTCTGTCCGAGATTTCGCACCTTTGTGTCATGCTATTTGTATAGTGACTAGCCACTATAATATTTCTGCTTAAAACTTAAGAGTCAAAGTGGTGGCTCTGGCCAGCCTCGGCTTTGCTCGTCGTGAAGTTGGGTGACATCACGGGTAACATGATGCGCCAGCATGTGCGCCAGGGCAGCTTATCTCTGCTAGGAGGCCACTGGTGGCAGCTTTGTTTATGGCCGCGCGGACGCATGGCCCCAGTGATCTTGCGACGCATCTGTTTGGGGTTTCGCGCATGTGCAATACCGCCACCTCCAACGTCCTGGGTACGCAAGCCGCTTGGGTAGCCAGCACTAAAACTCCCTAATCTTCGATAGCTCTCGGTCTTTCACCAAATCTCAGCCGTGGCTAGTCGACGGTGAAACTCTGGAGTCCAAGGCGGTGATAGGGACATTCCCGGTACACATGTGCCGCTTCACCACAGTGATAACACAGTAGTCATCTGTCCGGTGTGCACCATACGTTGGATTTTTTTTGGAAGCGGCTGTCGATTTTCCCGATTTTTCAAGTGATGAATTGGCTGCAGTGAAGGAAGTGCATCCTGAGGCGTAGGATTAACGAAGTGCAGTGAAGCAGGATTAACGAAGTGCAGTGAAGCAGGTGGGGACTGGCACTGAACCTTTTGTAGCTCGTCGCGCACCATCGATCGAATGAGGTAGCAGAGAGATTCAATGTTACTAATGCTGCTTCCTGCTCCTCCAATCTGCCCTACTGACAAAGCGACACTCGCCTGACGGTTGTACATAGAGTGCTGCCGCAGTACTTGTTCTATTGTTGTGGCTTCGGTCAGAAACTCCGCCACGGTCTTTGGGGGGACAGCTCACGAGGCCAGCAAAAAGCTGCTCCTTCACTCCTTGCATTAAATGGTGGAGCTTCTTTTCTTCTGCCATGTCAGGGTCAGCTCGATGAAAGATGCTCGTCATATCCTCGACGTACATCATGACGCCCTCATTTGGCATTTGGATGTGCGACTGAATCGCTCGGTCGGCTCGTTCACGGTGATCGGGATTGGCCTAGCTTGCCAGCAACTGACGGCGAAAGACGCTCCACGAGTTAGAGGGCTCACGGTTTTTGTACCAAGTACGAGTGCCGTCCTCCAGGCTGAATTACACGTTCCTCATCTTGTCAAAGTCGCTCCAACCATTGTAATCGGAGACCCGTTCGAACTGAACCAGCGGGTCCTCGACATCCTCTAAGACGAAACCGTGAAGCGCCTAGGAGGCACGACTGCAGCCTGGAGGCACGACTGCAGCGTGGAGGCACGACTGCGGCGTCCGCAGCGTAGGAGGCACGACTGCAGCGCCTTCCACAGCATTCGAGGATGTCACTGACATCATCTCAGGCAGAGGTCCAAGCTCAGGAGGTAGTCCTCGGAGTCTTTGACACTGCGCCTTGAAAAGGTGTTGTCACTGCAGGTACAGGGCTACCTGGAGACGTTTGGAACATCAAATGGGGGTTACCCAGCACCTCCACCAGTTGTCATGTGCTACGCAAGGTCTTTTACTCAAAAGAACTGAACCAGCGGGGGAGACGCAGAGAAAACTGGCAAGATGGCTCACTCAATAACAACAATTAGCCAGAGCGTGCGCTGCCGCAGAACATCTTACCATTCTAGCGGGCTGCCTAGTCTCACGCTGGCCGTACTTAGTGGGCAAGTGGCAATATCTTGGAGTTCATGGAAGGGCAAGCAGATGCATACTTGCAGTACGTGGGTGTGCTTGTTGTTCTATTGCCATTCTTTATTCCTTCTGGTAGTTCTGTACTAAGTGTAATTCAGCCACGATTACTAATAATCAGTAATTATATCGCCCTGTCCCCTCTTGCATTGTGCGGACAGGCCCTTAAATTGCTTATATAAATAATACATACATAGTATAAGTGATTTTTATGGACCACACCGACCTGGCCACCCATTTAGAGATGTTTTATTTTTTCTTGTTTACTTATGGCTCGCCTAAGTCTTCACCATTTTCTTTTCCTTACTTCCCTCTCTTCTTTCCCTTTTCTTTTTCGCCTATCTCTTCCCTCCTCCCTACAAAAGAGCGATTACACCTATTTGCGTCTTCCATTCCCGACCGTGCCCACTATTCTTGTGCACTGGTCTATTGCCACTAGGAAAGACTGCGTTCTTCTTACTCCTGCAGCCTTCTTCCTGAGCTCTGCGAAATCCAGATGAATGACTTCAAATGGTACGTTGGAATGTTGAGACAAAACCATCTCGTCGGTTCTCTGAAGGTACTTGGCTTTGTGAACTTGACATTGATGACAAGACTGAGCGTACCTTTGAACGTCCTGTTTCATGTGTTTCCGCTGGAAACGCTGACGAATCTTCTGATATGTCCTCCAAAAGCCGTCATGTCCACTTGAGTGCGGGGAGTCGTGATAGAGCTCTAAAATTCGAGGCACCATTGTTTCTGGGACAGTGAACTTCCCGTTATGGAACTTAAGTTCTTCAGTTCCCTCCCACAACAATGTTGCGTTGACAAAGGATACGGGTGTTGCAGTAGGTCTCCAGCTTGCAAGCGGGCGTCGTTCCTCAGCTCGTGTGGCCCCGGTATTCCTTGCAGCAGGTGTCATGGGTGGACGTTGGGTTCCTAGGTCCTGGAGGTAGAGGTTTCGCATTCCCTGCAGAAGTTCTTCGACCGTCTTGGGTCCTCGCATTTGTATTTGCTTCTGGAGGTCCGGACTTAAACCATGAATGATAAGCGGAACCACAGACGTCTCAGGCAAAGATGAGTCCGCCAGCTGTAGCAAGCGCCTTTTCTCATAGAAATAGCTGAGTGCAGATCCAGACCTGTATTTGAACGTGATTGCTTTGTCCCATAGCAACACCTTGTTCTCGCTGAAGGAGCTCAGAAAGCTTGCTTTCCACTCTGTCCATGGTTTGTTGCTGTGAGCGTTGAGACGCATTTCGTACCAACTCTTTGCTATGCCCGATAGGAATAGTCGCATGTTTTTCACTTTATCTTCGTCGCTGTGCCAGTAGTTTTCATTGCATGCATATTCGTAAAACGTGAGCCAGGACTCGGGACTACTAGACTCTCCGTCAAACATGTCTGGCTTCACTTGTTCGCGACTCAGTCTGCTTAATCTTTCCGTCCCGTTTACAAGCAAGCGCAATAAATCATTTTGCTGCCTATTCTGTTCTTGGTGCAGTTTAAGAAACTTGTTGATTAGCTCAATGGAACTGTCAGGCGAAGCAGCGGTAGCAGGCTTCGCGTCGTTTTTTACTGGAGTCAGCACGAAATTCTCATAATCCTGAAGTTTCATGTTGATCCTCACCGTTCTTTTAGCAAGTAAATGGTCTGGAGCTATCTTCATTTTAGTGCTTATATAGGAAACAAATGCGTCAGTGCTCACTGCTTCCGGAAGAGCTAGTTCCTCTTCATCTTGAGGCGTTGCGGTCAAGATCCGGATGCCACCGCGTTGATTTGCTCCAATGGTGAAGTACACCCACATCTTGAATGTCCGCACAGAAAGTATACGCGGCTGCGCCAATTTGTAATAGTACACAGTACTAGGCTGGGGTGTCAGCCATCTTCTTTATTTCTAACCTCTTCTTCCTCCTCGTCTCCCCCCAACCCTGCCTCACGTCCACGTACAATACATACATAGTATAAGTGATTTTTATGGACCACACCGACCTGGCCACCAATTTAGAGATGTTTTATTTTTTCTTGTTTACTTATGGCTCGCCTAAGTCTTCACCATTTTCTTTTCCTTACTTCCCTCTCTTCTTTCCCTTTTCTTTTTCGCCTATCTCTTCCCTCCTCCCGAAGGAGTAAGCAGGCATTGTGCCCCTCCAGGTGGCAGTTGCCAGCCTGCTCTCTTGCTGTTTCCTGTGTTTGATTGTGTATCTCTGTATGCAAATCAAATAACAATAACAACATTAACTTTCACTCTTTTCCTTGCAGAACGTTGCCAGAGGTGACGTCATCGCCACCATCGTCGCAGTCTCCTGCATCAGCACCTGTTACGGTGATTGCAGTTCAGGAGGACTTGCCCGACCGGTAGCAGTTGTTCGAGTGCAACCCATCGGTTGACAACGTTCTGGTGGCTAGATCTGCTTTGTGGCATGTGACCCCGTAATGAATGAGTCCTGTGCTCGGTCATTGTCATTCGGTGGTTACGCTTGCTTTTTATATTGCTGTGATGATGACTTAACGACTCGACTTACAGCATCGTCGATTTGATTCCGCATTTGGTTGCAGCAATGCGGAGCTCGTTGGCAGGTGCCTTGTTGCAGAGTGAACAAAAAGAACTAAAAGATTTGTGATGTGTTTAGAGTGAGTGTGATTTAAAGTGAGACTTATGGGGGATCGTTAAACGATGGTGAATGTGTTTCAGTGCTTTAGGTATATTAGATAGGGACAGCTATAGGCTTAGCTGTGGGAGGAAATGTGCATTTATTAAGAGTTCTGTTCTTCACCCACTGATGCTGATTAGCTGTCTGGTTAAGAATGCTCGGTGCACACTAGGATCTTGTATGTAAACATATTTTCTTTGTAATTGCCAACTAATGTATTTTTGGTCATGATACGTTGATCGTGGAAATAGATTGACTATCTACGTCTTGGCCTTCATGGGGACTAACAACGTCTCGTTCTAACCAGCTTGAATGGCACGGGATATAACTTCTGCCTATACAGATGTTCACACAGTTTGCCTTCAGCTCTGTCATATCACCATGATCTGCCTGCGTTGCTGCACAATTAGAGTATTCTCAGGGAACTTACTTCCTGATCAACGGCAGCCCACAACGTTGACCACCACTGTCATTTCTCGGAAGTCTTTTCTGTGTCATTTCTCTGAGGATGGAGTATGTTGATGTCTGAAAGGGTTCGATCCCAACACAATCAAACATTCATGGCTCCCTCGAAAACTGTCTGCATACTCATCATATCTTCAAGTTGACTTATTATTGTGTCGGTGTGACTGAAATCTCACAGTAGTTGTTTTTTTTAAGGAATTTAAATGGTTAATTTGGTGCTTAGCACACTTGTTCATCTTGAAGCACGGGAAGCGAACCTGCCGCACAGCTCGAATGGCTGACGTGTGAGGTCTTGAGTCTTTTGTCTGACTGTTTTTGGCTGCATTTGAATCATGAGTGAATGCAGAAGCATTCTCTCATTTGTGTACTGTGCTCTTGATGTACTGTAAGGAATCTCAGGCATTCAAAGCTATTCCGAAGCCCATCACTACACAGTCTTTTAAAGATGCTGTGTCGCCTTGGTGCCTTCAATCGAGGCAGTCTAGGTCATTACTAAGACAGAATGAACCATTTACTAAGACAGAATGAACCATTTAAGGCAGAAGCCTTAAATGGTTTATATGATGCTGGCCGCATTGTGTGGTTTGATCTGGAATGAAACCCTGATTCACCATTGAGTATTCCATCGCAGAGCTATGCCAGTGCTTGAAAATGCTTTGGAAAAACACCCTATGGAGTAGTCATGTTGGGCAAGGAGTTGCATTGCACGCAGTGTTGTGTGGCAGAAGCAAAGTATCACACCAACCATCGCTCAATGTGAATTGCAAAGGGCTCAGCTATTCAAATACAAAGGGCTCAGCTATTCATAATCATCATCAACCACTGCATAAACAAAGACACATGTGTCATTATGCAAAGACCACATGATTGCCCGTGCCCCTCCTTGAAGGAGGACGTTCACTGAAGGGTTAAATAGAGACGAAAAAAAAAAAACAGGATGAAAACACTTTCACCTTGGTGTATGCTTTGAAGGACCTAGGGACCCTGGCAATGTTTTCGCCAAATGACTGAGCTAACTTACATTGACCTTGGGTAAGGGACGATGCAGTATTGATGTACACTTTGACATTATTATACGCTGGGTGTCAAAAACTATTTTATTGCATTTTGAGCATATCTTGAATGGCTCCAGGTTGGTAAGGCTAATTTTAGTAGGTTAGTAGCAATCTGTAGCTGTAGACGTTTTGTAAAACCAGCAAGGCAGCAAAAACTAGACAGCATTTGTCGATGCTCTCAATTTTCTTTTGTTGCCCTTGCACCATATGTGTTCTGCTGTGAACAGGAAGGATGTGGCTATGCGGATGAGGTGTTATGCTAGTTGATGAGCTGGTCAAGGGACTTCAGGCTCGGCTTAGCTTTCGTTTGATGAGCTGGTCAAGGGACTTCAGGCTCTGCTTAGCTGTTCGTGCTCCAGGCTTTGTGAACTGCTTTGTTTCATCCAAAGTTCTGTAATGGCCTGGCTCATTTGTTCAGAACTTATGGCAATGGGAGTTTACAGTGCAGTTGTAATGAATTGTTTTCACCAGAGCCAACTTATCACTGTTTTCATATTAGCTAAGACCTTTATGAGTGGAATATGTTTAAGCCATTTTGTAGGAGATATTTTTTCAGAAATTTTTCCTTGGCTGTTTTTCTCACTCCAGCTGTCGTTCTTTTTTTTTCTGGCTGGCAAGTGCGATTGTGTATAAATGTCTGACATATCTATAATGCGGTTTATTGCTTGCAAAGGTTTGCAGACACAAAATTAATAACATTTTTTTTGTCACGTGATTGGCCAAACTTCAATAGTAAAGTCTTGCAAGCATAAGTGCACCCTGGGAAAGTAATTACAATATGCTTTTAGGGCTACTTTCGGTTCCTACTGTACCCTGACGTCGCGACACGGTACGAGCTTTTCGTTATATGTTCGTGCAAGATATCATGACATTTTCTCGGACGCTCCGCTTCGTGACATTGTTGGTTATGCACAAGTGGCCGTTTGAAATATCTTGGTACTCAGTATCATTGCTGCTAGTCATACTGGTGAATAAAACCACGAAAATTGACCCTGCAGCCGGAGGTCATGATAGTGTCCATGTTGGTAGGTACACAATGTGAAAATTCGAAATTGACTTCAGTCTCAAAATAAAATATCGGCATTCATTGAACTTGATACTTGCTCACAACCGTCTCTCTGTACCAGATATCTCGATGGCAGAGTAAACTTGCCTTCGAAAATTTGCATCAGTTCCCATTTAAAGCATGAAAGGCATATCAGTCACAGTTACGTAGGCAGTCAAGGCAAATGTGCAGCATTGAATACAGGATTAGTTGAAGTAAAGCAGCACATTAGGCTAGTTGCAACATACTCAGCACTTTCAGCACAAAAAAAGGACATAAAAATACAAGGAAGTGCTTGATATGATAGAAGTGCTGTCTAAAAGATGAAAATTCATTGTAAAAAAAAGACGTGGCATATGTGAGCCATATTTATCAGGACAACATGTTTTTCATATATGTATCAGGCATATATATATATATATATATATGAAAGTAGATGCGCTTTCACATAACAACTGTTTATTGTGCTGACATTTCGACGGGAACCCCGTCTTTTTCAAGGCAAAATATATATATTTTTCAAGGCATATATATATATATATATATATATATATATATATATATATATATATCTCTCGGGAGAGTTGCTTTGCAAATGCTTTCTTATTTTTGGCTGCGACAACAGTCATGTTCGACGAATTTTCACTATAAAGCGCCGATACAGTATCTTTGCTCTGAACATATGAAATGCAAACTGAGGAATTCAAACATTCAATAGCATGTTTCAGATAGAGGTACAATTTTTCACGCCCTTCCAGGAATTACTCACGAAAAACCAGTGTTCAGTCTTTCAATCTGACCAAATGTACCAGTCTAGTTGACTCGGTTTGCTCTTAATTGTGCATGGCAGCAGTACATAGTTCGGACTTTGGCAAATACATGCCCAGTCACACTTCCTTGTTATAAAGGCATGTTGAAAGGCCTGTGTAACTTGAAGAATAAGATCCATGAGGATGAAAGCTAACATTGTCTTCTACAGTTGACACCACAAGCACAAATTTTTGAATAACCCCTTCCTGTCCACAAAGCCACATCAAGTTCCCCTGTCAGTATAGTAGTGCCATGCTTCGTGGACTCTTTGCGATATAAACGCGGTTGCCTCTGTGGAAGTGGTACATCTGTGTTAAAATTTTAAAGGCATTGATTTGATTGTCAGCTGCAAGTTACTCGTGCTTTTGGAAAGTCTGAATGTAAAGTGTCATGTAGAGTCATGTTAAATCTGTTTTTACCACCATGTGGATGTGAGCCTGTCATCAACCTCATCTAATGAAGCGATTGGTCATCACGTAACAATTCTTTACTCCATCAACCTGGGTGATTTGAGATATGCCCATCTACTCAGTAACTATGATGCATTAGTGCTGGTATTGCTTGTCTGATTCCTTGCTGTAGCATTTTCACGCCATTTTGTGGCTGTGTGAGACATGCTCATGCATCCAGCTTAACATAGTTCATTTTTTAAGAATCCTTTGTCAATCGAAAACTTGATGGAAAGGCTTTGCTTAAGCATTTACTTCTCTTTACAGGAACTCCAGGACTCAGTTATTAGTCAAACACTGTTCACTTTTATCTGTACTAAAGCCCCCCCCCCCCCTAAGTTCTCAAATGGTTTTTGAGTGATGAGTTGCATATGCTTTGTTTTAGTCGGTGGAGACCGTTCAGTGGTGCTATTACGTCCCACTAACGGGGAGTTGCCTGTCAGAGCTCACTCTATTTTCTCGGGTATAACCGCTCTTCTTGCGTGTAACCCTGATGCACAGCATACATGAAAGCAAAAAAGAAGAAGAGTTCTCCTGTATCACCATGAAACCACTTTTCGCACCGAAACTAACATGTAACCTGCACTCTACTTTTAGCACATGACGATGTGACCATTGTAACTTGGTTTAGTGCAAGCCAATGTTTTTGTGCTCGTTAATTGCACGAAAATGCGGTACCAGTCAGTTGAGCTGCAACATCACGGAGTTGTATTATTGACTTGTGTGAGGATGAGTGAAATGCTTGAGTACTCTGTTTTTAACTCTGCCGTACGCCATTGTGCCTCTGTGACCAACCTCTTGCTATGCGATTGTTTATGTGACAATGTTATACACCAAGGTTTTGAGTGCATTCCTTATTGTTTCGTAAAAGTATGTGTATTGCGTGAATGCTGAAAAGTGTGTATGTGCTATCTGTTTCACTCATAGTGTGCCTTCTGCAGCAAGCTCATAGTACAAATTTAATGAGAATAATGGGTGGTGCACAAGGGTTTGCCCTTTCATAAAGCAATGGTGCACAAATTTTTACGTTGTGTTTTGTTCTTATTGTATGTCTTGTTGCTTAGTGAGCATATGTGCAGTAAAGGGGCAGTAATGGCTTGGAAAATCATTATAATGCTACAAGGAAATATGTTACATTCTCAATTGGAAATGATTCGATGCTCAGTTTCTTTAGATTTTGTTGCAGTCAAATGTATGTTGCGACTGATTGTGATTCCTGCGATTTAGCGGAGACAGGATTAAAAATGGCCTGTTCACATACATTAAATGGCTGCCCGAGTGTCTGCATACCATTAGTAAACCAAAAAAAACTGTGCTTTGCTCAATTATGGGCTATTTGATTTCAACGGGCTCCATACAATACTGTATATGGTCTAGAAGATGTGGCACCCATAGCTGCCAGCTAATGGCTTCTGGAGTAGCGAAATTTCGGCGAGTTGGTATTCGTCCATTCTTAAAAAAATTCCCAGCTGCAAAAAAAAATCATAGCATTTAACTCCGACGGGCACACTCCTGCCTTTGCTTTTATCGGTGTTTTTCATAATTAAGCACACTCCTCCTTGATTGTTCTCACAATGAATGGTTGCCGCACTTGCCACACACGTTAGCGCCAGCCAACACAGTGCCCTGACCCACGACAATCCGAAACATGTACGAGAGACGTACCGCTCCACCTAAGCATTGTATTTAGCCTCTGGAATTGGCACACCAGTTGAACAGGTGCTGGTGCCTCTGGCATTGACCAATTGACGATCTTCATTGATGGTGTCATCGTGTGATGTCGTAATGTCACTGATCTTCGTGATGTGTGATGTCATGACGACGCCATTACGTGAT